GCCGGGTATAGGTATAGTGTGTGTGTGTGTGTGTGTGTGTGTGTGTGTGTGTGTATGAGAGAGAGCGGGAGGGAAGGAAGGAGGAGACTGGGTATACACTTCATTTGGTAGAGTCTGTGCCTAGTATGCACAAGGCCTGGGTTTGATCTCCAGCAGCACCCAGGTATGAAGGAGCACACCTGTGAGCACAGCACTTGGGAGGTAGAGGCACGAGTATTAGATGTTCAAGGCTCTCCTTGACTAAACAGCAAGTCTGAGGCCAGCCTGAGATACACAAGAAGGCACTTATATCACTTATATGAGGTACCAAAGTAGTCAACTTTGTGCTGAGATGACTTAGCAGATGAAGTACTTGCCTCAGAAATATGAGGACAAGCGTTCAGATCCCCAGTGAACAATGGGCAGGGGTTGCACCCCACTGTAAGCCCAGCACACTTCTATGTAGAGGACTGAGAGACAAGAGATCCCCAGAACAAGCTGGTCAGCTGAACAAGCTTAGGTCTCAGGGTTCAGCAGGAGAGTCTACCTCAGTAAAGAATGCCCAAGGCCAGCCTCTGACCTCCACATCCGTCATACAGTAACAGATCACAGAGACAGAAACAGAATGGAGTGTCCGTGGGCTGGGAGGATGGAGAGTGGAGCTGATGGTCACAGGATACGTTGTACCAGTGATATGGGAAGGGCGAGCTGGGCAGTGGGGATTATATAAGTAAACTTAGTATCACTAAATCATAGTATGTTTTATGTTACATGTACTTTACAACACTAAAAAGTTAAGACAAAGCTGGGCAGGGTGGCGCACACATTTAATCTCAGCACTTGGGAAGGCAGAGGCAGGCGAATCTCTGAGTTTGAGGCCAGCCTGGTCTACAGAGTGAGTTCCATGACAGCCAGGGCTACACAAAGAAACCCTGTCTCAAAAACATTAATAAATAAATAAAGTAAGTAATTAAACCAAAAAAGTCAATCAATAAATAGTAAGAACATGATGTTGGAGAGATGGTTCATTGGTTAAGAGCACTGGCTGCTCTTCCTGGTTCAATTCCCAGCTCTCACTGAGAGCTACACGTTACACAACTGTTTGTAACTCAAGTTCCAGCAGATCCTCACACATGCAGGCCAAGTACCAATACACATAAAAATTAAATGAACAAATAAAAATTACTTTAAAAAAGGTAAGAAGATAAAAAGATCACTAAATATAGAAATAAACCAAGGAATATGGAACTGGTCTGAAACTCACACATGGACCAGGATGGCCTTGAATTACAACCATCCTCCTGTGTCTACCTGGCAAATTACAGATATATGCTACCAAGTCTGGCTCCCAGGATACAGGTTTTCGGTTGTTGTTTGTTTTTCAAGACAGGGTTTCTCTGTATAGCGTTGGCTGTCCTGGAACTCACTCTGTAGACCAGGCTGGCCTAGAATCCACAGACATCTGCCTGCCTCTGCTCCCAAGTGTTGGGACTAAAGTTATGTGCCACCACTGCCTGACTTAGCATTTTAGCCAGGATTTAGTATTTTATAAATGTATATTCACCTATGCACCGAAATGTCTAAGACAATATAAACAACTGTCTTAGGATGGTGATAGAGGGAACTTTTCTCTGCACTTTAGAAAATTCTGTACAATTTACAGATTATCCATGTAGAGAGATTATGCTACCCTTTGTGTTACATTTTCCTTCTTTGTTTTTTTAAAAGAAAAAGAAAGACTTTCATATACTGACCTGCTTCCTGCCGCAGCAATCCCAATGTATCAAGGATCCGACAAGCTTCCAGGGAGCACTGTACCATTGCTTCTTTCTTCTTCCCTGAGTGAACGGCCTCAGCCACCAGCTGCTTCCCAGCGGAGTCATCTACAGGTAATCTGCACGGGTTCACAGGGGTCACAGCTCAGCAAAGCCTGACTCTCATGACAGCAACTGTCACGACGCCATGGTTCCTGAGATGGTGTTTCAGTCTCTCAGGTAAATTCATTCTGTCTTGCCAGGGTTGGACCTGAAACCATTTCCTTTGACTTTTACTCAGTTCACCCCGGCTCCCAGTGCTACTACACTATAAAGGTACCCACTTGGTAGCAGCCTAAAATGCAGAGTAAAGTAACCCTTGGGGATAGGCTCTGCAATCATATGCCAACTTGAAAGTAGTCATTTCCAGTTACAGACATTAACAAGAAAAGAACCCATGAGCTCAGTATTTAGTAAGCAAAAGAAAGAGGAGTCCCACAAAACAAGATACTGTCTCAAAAATATAGCTAAAAAACAAGCAAAAAGAACACACCTCACCCTGCAGAGCCAAGTGCTATGGCCCTGCTCATCAAATTCATATTCTAATTCTTCTCCTGCAGAAAGAAGAACAATTTTAGTAAGATCTAAAAATTACTAGTTGGTACAATAAGGAGAACAAAGTTAAAGACCCAAGTTTTAATATCACAATGAGCATTAATTTTCAACAGACATCATTCATTCCTAGGGATCATCACCAGGAAATAAGACTAGAATGAGTGTGACATGGAAGAAAACAATTTCAAATCAGAACAATCAACTCAGGAGGTCTTGGTGGCACGGACTTTTATTTCTTTCTTTGTTTGTTGTTTGGTTTTTCAAGACAGAGTTTCTCTGTGTAACAACCCTAGCTGTCCTGGAACTCACTTTGGAAATTAGTAGACCAGGCTGGCGTTGAACTCACAGATATCCTCCTGCCTCTGCCTCCTAAGTGCTGGTATTAAAGGCATGAGCCACTACCACCTGGTTGGTAGCTCATATTTATAATCCCAGAACTCAGGAGGTACTAGAAAGATCACTACAAGTTCAATGTCAACCTGAGTTACATTGAAAGTTTGAGGCTAGCCTTGGCTGTAGAGTGAGATCCTATCCCCGATTTAAAAAAAAAAAAATGAGGGAAACACCTCAGTGGCATAACGCTTGCTTGATATTATGTTCAACCCCAGTACCACAAAACACAATCCTGGTTTTACAGGCTTGTAATACTAGGTATTCAGAAATTGGGGCAAGATGATCATACAAGGCTGACCTGGTCTATAGGAAGTAGGGTTGGGTTTCAGGGGTAGTTTAGTGATAGAAGGCTTGCCTAGTATGAACAGGCTCTGGATCTGATCCCTGAACTATCAGAACAAAACACCCAAACCAATCATCTCTCTATACATACTTTTATTTATGCAATTTGTGTGTGTGTGCAGAGTGAGGGTCCTCCTCAGTCATCCACCTTAGGATCGCTCACTGAACCAGGAGCTCATCAATTCAGCTAGGCTGGCTGACCAATAAGCTCCAAGGATCCATCTATACATGCTACCAGGTCTAGCTCTTTTTTTTTTTTTGGTTTTTCAAGACAGGGTTTCTTTGTATAGCATTGGAACCTGTCCTGGAACTTGCTGGGTAGACCAGGATGGTCTCTAACTTAGAGATCCGCCTGCCTCTGCCTCCTGAGTGCTGGAATTAAAGGCAGGCACCAGCAATGCCTTTTTAGAAGCATAAATACACATTTTGTTGTTGCTAGAGACCGAGTTTCATCGAGTCTAGGCTGACCCTGAACCTGTGTAGACATTAAACTCCTGATCTTCTTGCCTCTAATTCTGGGACAACAGGCAACAACCACCATGCCTGACTAGAAGCATAAATATTATGTGTTGAAAGCAATTTGCTCATATATATATTTCTAGTTACATATGTGTACATACATATATATGTACACACACACACACACACACACACACACACACACACACACACACACTGCATTTTTTTCCTTATTGGTAGATAACCAATTGCAGATTGAAAAAGAACTGTCTAGGAAAGATCAGCAGTTAGGAGCACTGACTACTCTTCCAGAGGACCCAGGTTCAATTCCCAGCACCCACAAGGCAGCTTACAACTGTCTGTAACTCCAGTTGCAGGGAATCAGATATTCTCACACAGGTATACATGCAGGCAAAAATGCACATAAAATTAAAGAGAGAGAGAGAGAAGCCAGGCAGTGGCAGTGCATGCCTTTAATCCCTGCACTTAGGAGGTAGGGACAGGCGGGTCTCTGTGAGTTTGAATCCAGCATGGCCTACAGATAGAGTTCCAGGTCAGTTAGGGCTACAAAGAGAAACTCTGTCTCAAAAAAACTAAATAAAAAACAAAAATCAAAACAAAAAAAACCTAAAAAACACTAAGAAAAAAAAAACAACCTGTCAAACTGTCTGCTTTAAACATGTATACTTTTGTCATTATTCCCTAAACAGCAGGTATATTGATCATTTGAATAAATTTACAGCATATTAGGTATTGCAAATAATCTAGAGTAAAGGAGGCTATATGTAGTTTATATGCAAATACTATGCTACTTGAGCATCTTCAAATCTTGGTATCTTCAGGGAAGGGTTTTGAAACCAATCCCGAAAAGAGCCCTGTGAATAGCTATGAATGTGTAAATATATCCATAGAACATGAATACACACATAAACATGCATCAAGGTTCTCTCAAAGTGTCTCTACTGAAACAATTCTCCCTGAGAACTTTTCTTATCACATGAAGGTAAAATCTGCACTAAGAACTGAAAACACCAGGGCTGTACGGCATGGCTCAGTTGGAAAAGCGCTTGCCTAGAGAGTATAAGGACCAGAGTCCAAGGACCCAGAAAAAAGGTAAAAAAATCGGGCATGGTGGCCCACACTTGCAGTCTAGCCCTGGAGAGGCAGTGACGAGGGGATCCCTGGGGGTTTGAGGCCAGCCAGTCTAGTGGTCTAGTGTGATTAGCGAGCCCCAGGACAGAGAGACCCCGTTTCCAAGGAGGAAGATGGTACTTCTGAGGACGACACCTCAGGTTTTCCAGAACACATTCACACTAGAAAGTATTGATTATAACAGACCACAGGATTAGAAACAATGAATTCTAAGGCTTTGCTTCATTTCCTACCACTAAGTCCAAGATCTTTTGAGAAGAATGGGTTTACAGTATTTCTTTAAAATGAAAAGAAAGGTAAACTAGAGTTTTGCTATTTTCAAAACAAAACAAAACAAAAAAACCTGGGGTTGCTGGTACAGCTCAGTGGTCGAGAGAACAGTTTCCCAGCATATACCAAGGGTCTGAGCCTCAGCATCCAACAAAAAGTAAAAAATAAATAGAGCCAAAGAAACTGGTCACAGGGCAAGAACCAGACAAGGAAGACAACAGGTAAATAAATTGTTTATATGTATGAAGTCCAAAGCTTTAGGAAACGGCACCGCTGTGCGCACATCTCACTGCCAGGGTCAGAGCCACATTCCCTTACATACCTTCCCTGTCAAAGAAGCCTTGGAGAGCCTTCTTCGGATCCTTTATATAAAATGCCTCCCGGTCCTGCTGAAAATCCAGGGCAATGGGGTTCTCTTCAGCCTCGTCCTCTACAGCATCCTCGCCTGCAGGGCACAAGAAAGAACAAATGTTCTTTGAGAAGATGTATGAATGACATCCATGATCCTTCTAGATGGAATAAGGATATAATAGAAGAGCTGGCACAGTGACACACACCTGTAAGCAGTGTTCAGGAGGCTGAAGCAGGAGGATCATAAGTTCCAAGATTGCCTGACTACAGAGATAATGTTTCAAGACAGACAGACACACACACACACACACACACACACACACACACACACACCTACATTTAAAAGTGATTAAAAGATATTTGAGGGCATGGGATGAACAACCACAAATCAAAAATTGCGCAGTTCCTTCAACTGTGTTACCGTTAACTCAGATTCTGCCTCTCGGTCTTCCTCTGGCCCCTAATGAATCAAGGGGGAAAATATAGACATGTATGGATTCAGGAAAGGAGAAATTATTTTCAGAGATACATACCTGTGGGGCCAGACTGACCCTTATTGTCACTGGTGACTGGAAGAATCTTTTTTTCTTTTAGTTTTCTAAATTATGAAGGAGACAAGACTTGTTTCCATGGCGTCTTTCTTTCCATCACTCTAAGACATTTACCTGCTACACTCTGGGAAAGCACTGAGTGCTTTAGCCTATCGCTCTCTTTCTCTCCTACTCGGGTCTTACTCGTTGTGACTGTTCCCTTTCCTGACACTAACTCTAGCATGCTAATGGCTTCTGACCTAGTCTTGACACTTTATATATATAGGCCACAGACATACAAGTGCCACAGAGCACATGGAGGTCAAAGGACAGCTTGTGGGAATCCATTCTCTCCTTTCACCA